ACACACACAGAGGTATATCTTTTAGATTTGTAATGTTTTTTTAAATAGAGTCTCTTATGCTCATCAATGTTGCATTTATTTGATAAAAAATACAGAAAAAAACCCCAGTAATATTGTTAAATATTATTGCAATTTCTAATATTGGTTTCCTATCTTACTGTACTTTAAAATATAATTTATTTCTGTGACGCAGCACTGAATTTTCAGCATCATTACTCCAGTCCTCAGTGTCACATGATCCTTTTATAAATCATTTAAAGACAGATATATATATGTGTGTGTGTGTGTGTGTGGTGAAAGTGTCCATAAGTCACTCCACATAAGCAAATGCATTTGAAAAGGGTAATTAATCATTGATAATTAATCACTGAATGAATCATCAAGTCATTCCCTTATGAATAGATAGCAGAAAAGGATTGTAAAAATCAATAACTAAGTCAATAACTAACTAACTAACTAACTAAATAAATACAGTAAAATTACCAACAATTTTAACTAGAATTATATATATATATATATATATTGCTATTTGGATGCCATTACAATAATACTGATTTACAGGTTTTATAACCTCACATTAACTGAGAACTAAGAATAATTCTGATGAAGTCAGAATTGTGAGAAAAAAAGTCACAATTAACTTTTAGATTTTTATCGCGTGGCAAAAACAAGCTTCCATAGGTAGAAGACATTGTGAATAAGGTTTTCTTTTTTCTGTTTCTTTTAAATCACCTTTTAGGATTTTTGCAGTTTAGTCAAGAAATTTCATTGACTTCCATAACTACTTAAAGAACATGCTGCTGAAGAATAAAAGGTTAAAGGAATGTATTTAGTAGTTCATTCTCTCACAGTTTTTTTCTTCATTCACCTGTTTTCGATGGCCTGATTGAGATTCTCTCCAAACATCTTGATCCATTCTGGTGATCAGTTCCCTCTCTTCATCTTCTGAAACAAAATTCTCCCACAAAAATAGTCCAGGAAACGTAAAGGACTGTTGAGTGCCACTTTCCTCCTCTCCGACTGCTGCCTTTGACACCAGATCATGGGTGGAATCATAATGTGTCTGCAACAGAATATATCATTTTTCAATACACTACTGAGGTTAGTATTTTTATAATTTTTTTGGAAAGAAATCAACATTTCTGCAAGTAAGCATTAAATTGATCAAAAGTGACAGTAAAGACATTTATTTTAAGAAATCCTTAAAAAATTTATCAATGTTTTCACAAAAAAATTAAGCAGCACAACTGTTTTCAACATAATAAATAATGTCTCTTCAGCAGCAAATCAGCACATTATGATTTCTGAAGGATCATGTGAGACTGAAGACTGGAGTAATGATGCTGAAAATACAGTTTTGTCATCACAAGTTAAATTTTAATCAATTCTAAAATAAATTAGAAAAATAATTGTAATAACATTTCACAACGTTACTGTTTTACTGTATTTCTGATCAAATAAATGCAGCCTTGGTGATAGGGTTGCCAACTTCAGAAAAGGAAAATAAGGGACAATCGTGGTTTTTCATAGAAAAATAAGGGACAGAATAAGGGATACACACACAGGCCTATTATATATATATATATACACACACACACACACACAGAGGTATATCTTTTAGATTTGTAATGTTTTTTTAAATGGAGTCTCTTATGCTCATCAATG